TGGGAAGACAATGGAAACTGAGCCTTCAGACTGCTGCCAACACAGTGGCTGACCTTGGGCCCGATTACTTAGCCTTTGTGAACTTCAGGCTCAGCTGTACAATGGGCACCGTGATGCCACCACCACCCGATGTTGTGAGGACCTAAGGGGTCATGCAGTAAAAAGAGCTTTTGTGAGTCATCCAAGCTCGGCAGGCCTCTAAGTGAAACCAAATGAATTAAATGTTGGTGGTAGAAGTTCCAGGCAGGGGTGGAGAAGCCCAGGCTGGTGCTACTCCTGTGTGCACACATTTGGGGTCACAGCAGAAGGACAGGCAGATGCATACATCACGCGGCAGCAGTAACTGCAACACCACAAGGCCAGGCTGGACATATTCAAGCCCCAAGAAAGACTGCACAGTAAGTACAACCGACTTCTTATTGCAGTTGGCACGTTCTAGGAGATCACTTAACATTGGATTGGCAAATCCGGACCCACACCTCCCAGGAGAAATACAGGGTCAGGTTCTTCAGAGTCTCTGCTCCCAATCTTTTTATCAACTGATCAGTTCATAATCTTGTGTGCATGTCTGCTTAAAGGCATCTTATTGAATACATATTATTGATTTATTAACACTGAGCTCACAGCCAATAGCACTGTAACTCACACCTGCATGAAAATGACCTAACACATATACATTTTCCATGGGGCAGATCCTACCCTTCTCATGCTTGGGGACTCCAGGCAGCACTTCAGCAATATGCTTGGTGGGAATTTGTAAAATCACTCACAAAAAGCACAAAAATGCAACTGCAACAATAAAAGGCAGCAAGGACCCTAAAAGCAGGACCCTGGCTTACAGGAAGAGAACCGGAATGAGGGATCAGAACTTCACCTTTTTCAACCTGAGTAACGAGTGCTTTGGGCAACCCCAGTTTTCAACACTGCCGGCTACAAAGGACTCCAGCCTTTTTGAGCACAGATTGGAGGGTTTGTCGAAGAAACCACCACACGTGGGGACCAGCTTGCAAGTGCAGAACCTGCTAGTGACAAGGACCACGTGTATTGCTATCACCAGTTTACAGGAAAGGAAACTGAGGCTTTGGCAGAGCCAGGGTTCAGGTTTACATCACCGTTCTCCAGGCCACAGTCCTCAGCATACAGATAAATGCCTGAGTCCCGAGAGGCTGCTGGGTCACTGAAGGCCACACTGGTGGGAACCCTGGGCCTTAGGCCGTCGCTTTCACAGGCACCCATCCTCTTTTTTTTTTTTTTTTTTTTTTTTTTGGTACTGGCCATCGAACTCGGGTCCTTGTGCTTGTGAGGCAGGCGGCAGAACCTCTGAGCTAAATCCCGGGGCCAACCCGTCCCTTTATGAAGCGCCGACTTGCCCGTGTTATACCTGCTCAGCTCCCATAATCTCTTCTCCCCCCAGCCACCAGAACCCCGGAAACAGGATAGGAAGTGTGGTCGCTCAGATGTGCCACTTCTGGAGATGCCATCAGCCTGCTGTTAATGTCAGCAAGGGCACCTGGGCGTTTGCAGACTGGGCCACCAGGGGGCGCCCTCCCTCTGCACGCCCCGCCCCGCCCCCCACCACCACCACATCGTGCACAGGGAGGCCTTAGCCAGCCTGAGTGGTCCAGAGCAAGCAAAGGGAACAATGAGGTAATTGACAAAAATGCACCATGAAAGACAAATTGTTCAGACGAAGCACATTCCGGGATCCTGCCAAACGCCCAGGGTGTGTGGAATTTCAAGGAAAAGCTGAGTAGATTTGGACTTGTCCAGCTGGGCCCCTATGCCTCCCAGTCCCAGCTTTCAACCAGAGCCACACCTCTTCCCTGGAACGCTGCAGGCTGGGCCTGGGCTCCCAAGTGCCTGCCCTGGCAGGTGGAGGGAGGCAGAGGGAGAGGATGGGCCAGGTGGGAGGATGTGAGGAGAACTCTGCCGGACAGCTGGCTGGGCCGTCCCTGGCTCTCCCCACATGCAGACCTGGCTCCTGAGGTCCAGGTGACCTTGGGGCCCCGAAGCCAGAGCCTGCATGGGCTTCTGTCAGCCTCTCCCATCCCCAGGGCCAATGCAGGACGAGTGGAGCTTGTTCCACTCCCTGGGTGGCCTCAGGGAAAGCCTTCAGCCCTTGACTCTCTGCCTTCTCATCGGAAAAACAGGGTAATCATCCTCCGTATTCATACCCATGGGTTGTGGTGAAGATCAGATGAGAAAGGTAGGGAGACCTCAGCATCTCTGTTCTTTTCTGCCCAAATCGGAGCCACTCCCAAAGGCCTACCAGAAGCCACCAGTCCTCCCTGCTTATCCAAGACTTCAGCACCCAAAATGTGCCACCCAAAGCCACCCCTGACTCCCTGGAGACTTCCAGGTGACCCCAGATCCAGCAGTGCCAGCTCCCAGTGTCCCTCCTGCCCAGGATCTGAACTTCCAACCACTCCCCAAGGCCAGGGAGGGAGGAGCAGGATCTGAAGTCCAGGCCAGCACAAGGGCCTCTTGTCCTGCCGGGCAGCCTGGCACCGGCTGTCCTGTCCCAGGGAGGCCCTCTGGGACTATTGTCTTTCTGTTGTGGCTTGGGGGAGGGGCAGACCATGATCCACCAGAGCCAGGCTGGGCCCACCAGGCTGGCAGCTCTGCCCACCTCCTGGAGTGCTGAGACTGCAAGCTTCACTGCCACCCTCCACGGTGGCCCAGGTGTCCAGCAGTATTTCTTCTGAGCCAGCTCCTGGGTTGTTAATCCAGGTACCTCTGCCCATCCTGCCTCCTCTTCACAACCCATCCTATCCTGGCTCCTTTACTGTCCTGATTAAATGGATTATCATCAATTCAGGCCAAGCACCTAACTACACTGGGCAGTCAATAAAATGCTATCACTGCCAAGCCTCCCCCGACACTCCCAGGTGGGGTGGAAAGCTCCTGAGAGCCTCTCTGGGGCCTGAATTCCAGCTGTTGCTCCTGCTCCTCCTGTTGGCTTTGCTTCTCCAGGGCATCCTGACCACCCAAGCCAGTTCTCCAGCCTTATAGATCGGGGCGCTGGTCCCAGCTCCTGTACCACACAACTGCTGTGTAATTTTGAGCATGTTACTGAACCTCTCTGAATCTTCAGTTTTTGATCCATGGAGGGGAAAGAAATCATCTGTGTTCCAAGCTGTGAGGAGATCAGTGGTCATGAAAACCCCATACAAATATATTACCAGGCCACACAGCAGGGAGATTGCCACAGCCTCCCACATGGTAATGATGGCATTCCCACCCACACAGAGATTAAAGTGTCCTCTTCCAATTTCTTGAAGACCCTAATAAAAACATTCCTTGAGCTGTGTAATTGTCCTAACTCTACAAAACGTTTTCACATCTTTCAAAGCATTTGGACTTTCCCAAATGGATCCCACAACAGAAAAGAGAGGCAGGAGGATGATTCTGGCCATCTGGAAACTTCCAGTTTCCATTGAATTTACAGCCGGGTGTGGTGGCCCAGCTATTAATCCCAGCTACTCAGGAGGCTGAGGCAGGAAGATCACAAGTTCAAGTACTGACCGGGCAACTTAACAAGACCCTGTCTCAAAATTTCAAAATAAATAAATAAGGTAGGAATGTAACTCAGTGGTAGAGAGACCCTGGGTTCAATCCATTGGTATTGCAATCAACAGAGCTAGGGATATACTGTAGCTCAGTGGTAGACCGTCTCTGGGTTCAATCCATAGGAGCACAAAAGAATAAAATAGAGGGCATACTCTCTTCCAAAGGAGAACAAAGCCCTGCTCTCCAGAAGCTCACCACCAGAGCAGGAGGGGAGCTGAGTGAGCTGCCCCCAGTGAACCTACCCTGGCCGGTGTGTGTATTTTATTTCCAGCCATTCCAGGACCCATCTGAGAGCCCGCTGTAGTTTGTTTCTGAACAAAGGCCTTTTGGATGCCAGTGATGACCACAAAGGAGGCTCACTAACCAGGCAACACCCTTCCTGCCCTGGCTCTTGCCAGCTGCACCAGGGCTTAGCCAGCCCCAGCCCTTCCTGGCTTCTGGGAGGGTGGCAGTCTAAAGGCCCCTCAATACACAATGCTAAGCCACTGGCTAACATCACAGGGAGGAGCAGAAGCTCTGCTTGGACCCAAAGAGGCCCCAGCCCCTCCCAGCTCGACCCAGGAAGGGTCCACCGGCCTGCAAGGGGTTCAGTGCGCAGGAAGTGCCTGGCACCCAGCTGTTTGCGTGGGCAGGCAGGGGATTTACAGCCTCCCTCCTTGGCTGCGGTGCTGCCCAGCCTGTGCTGGGGAAAGGTGCTGCTCTCCACAGAGGAAGAGCCCTTGCTGTTCAGCCAGGCGCCCCTGTCACGCAGCCAGGGCCTCCCACACAGGCGCCAGAAGAGAGGAGGGGGCAAGACTGAGGAGCCAGGGGATCCGGGAGAAAGCAGGCTGGGCTCAGGATGCCAAGATGGGCAAAGGCGGAATTGGGCCCGTGTGCTGTGGGCCACACCTCCTTCAGGAACAGTAGCTGACAGGCAGGAAAGTGGGTCAGTTTCCCACCGGCTTCAGTTCTCAAAGGAAAATGTGATACAGTGCTGCTCTGTGCCTCAGTTTCTCCCCTTCTGGGCACATCCTTTGAGCCAACTTAATAACGGACCCCAAAATATCCATGTCTCAATTCCTGAAGCCTGAGAATGTTTCCTTATTAATGATTTCTCTTTTAATGATTTTGAGATGATTCTGGACCCAGGGTGCAGCACGACATAGTTGTAAACATCACAGCACGTGTTCTGTAAGCAGGAGACACATGGAGAGGCTAAACAGAAAAGAAGGCAGCATGACCTCAGAAGCAGAGATTAAAATGCCATCCCAAGCTGGGCATGATGGCACACACCTGTAGTCCAAGCAGGAGAACTGCCGTGAGTTTGTGGCCAGCCTGAGCTACACAGTGAGACGCTGTCTCAAGTAAACAAATAAACAAGCAAGCCATCCATCCCACAAGCCAAGGATGCCAGAGCCACTGGCTGGACAAGTCAAGAAAGCTGTTCTTACCTGGGGACCCCAGAGGGAATACAGCCTGCCGGTGCCTTGATTCTGGCCCATGATACTAAATCTGGACCTTTGGCCTCCAGAACCCTTACAGCAGTGATGGCGAACCTTTTGGAGACTGAGTATCCAAAACCCACTTATTTATAGCAAAGAGCCAATGGTGCCCCATGTGAGCTGTCATCCCATGCTCGCCTTGGCTTGTGTGCCGACAGAGAGGGCTCTGCATGCTTGTAGCTTCACCACCGCTGCCTTCGAGAGTCCATTTCTGTGTGTTAAGCCACCAAGAGGGGTTGATTTCTTCCAGCAGCTACAGGAATCCACCAGGCCTCGTTGTCTGGTGTGCTCAGCAGTGGCTCCCTGAGAAGTGGCTTTTTCCAGCTGTAGTTTTGGGGTTTTCTTTCCAGGGAGTTCTCCTCCTGGGACACACTCTGCAGGGCCAAGGACACAACTCCATCCTCAGAACATGACCCTGAGGCAGGAAGGTAGCAGGCCCAGTGCCGGGCAGGCTAGCCAGGGAAGGCGTCCTTCCCAAACAGCAAACAGCAGGGTCAGCTCTGCCCTTCCCAGCACTCGGCTTTGGTGACTCCCATGGCCTCCAAGGGCTCAGGAAGGCGCACTGAGCACTGCTCTGTGCTCTTGGAGGAGTCAGGAATCTCAGGGTGACCAGCCCCTTCCTGAGAATGCAAATCTGGGGAGAAGTGGAGGCAAAGAGGCAAAGTAATTCCAAAATCTCAGTCACCCAGCCTCATACTGAGTGCCAGGCACAGGACCAGGCCCTAGAGGAAAAGACAAAGAAAGCATGGTAACCCAAGGCCAGGCCAAACAGTGTGTGGAGTGTCGTGAAGAGGGCACTGGCCAAGACTGGAGTAACAAAGAAACCCGAAAAGGTGTCTGTATTAGTTATCTCTTGCTGTAACAGATGGTCACAAACTTAGTGGCTTGAAAAAAAACACACATTTATGGGCTGGGTTTCTACGGTCAGGAATCCAGGTGTGGCTCAGCCAGGTCCCGTGCCTCAGGGCCCCTCACAGAGCCACAAGGCAGTATCGGTAGAAGGAGGCTCTTACCTGAGGGCTCAGCTGCAAACCCGCACGGCTGTCGGTGGGACTCAGCCTCTCCTTGGAGATTACTCCAGGTAGTGCCTGCTCTGTCCAGTGGAGAAGGATCCAGGCATGGTGGTGCCTGCCAAAAATCTCAGTTACTCAGAGGCTGAGGCAGGAGGATCGCAAGACTGAAGCTGGCCTGGAGCACTTAGCAAGACCTTGTTTCAAAATAAAAAGTAAAAGAGCCTGGAGTTGTAGCTCAGTAGTAGAGTGTCCCTGGGTTCTATCCATAGCACCACCAAAAACAAACAAATAAACACACTACAACAAAACGAGGGAGGAGAGAGAATGAATAAGACAGAAACCCTAACCAGAAGTGAAGCACAGCCACTCTGTGGGTTAGGCCAGTCCACCCTCAAGGGCGGCAGCTGGCCAAGGGGGTGATGCCAGGAGGCAGAGGCCCTCGGGGTCAGCCGTCTCCATGACTCCAGAATGGAGTCTCAAAGGGGCAGGTGGGAAGAGCCCGGGAAAGGCCGAGACCGGTGTGGGAGAGGCTTCCATAGTAGAGCTCAACAGGGCTTCCGGACCGCTGTCTGTTCCTTGCCACCTGCTCCCTTCTGCTGTGCCCTTGACTTTACTACTTAATCTGCCGTAGCCACTTTCCCTTTTCTGGACACGATGCCAGACACTCACAACTTCAGGGAGGAGAGGTTCGGTCTGGCTCAGTTTCCATTCCTGGCTGGCCAGTTCTAAGGCAGGAACTAGATGGCCGTGGGGCAAGGCAGAGGAAAAAGGACTCACACCATGGTGGTGAGGAAACAGAGAAGGGAGAGCCGGGGGACAAGAACACCCTCCTAGACGTCACACCCCAGGGACCCGCCACCTCCAGCCAGGCGCCACCTCGGAACGTGAGACTTTGGGGGAGCATTTGAGACCTAAGCCATAAGAGTACTCCTGGGAGGAGGGAGGACCCTGGTTTCTAGTCTACATTTGTAAAAACTGAGGCTCAGAATGTTACCAGCCACTCAAAGGAGGCCGTTTATTTTGGTAATAAGAAGGGATTTATTCAAAGCTGGTTCCAAGGTGATGAAGGGGTCCAACTCACCTCAAATCGCCATCTGAGGAGTACAGGTGCACTTGGGTCTTTATAGCAGGGAACAGTGGGGAGAGAACAGAATGAGACCGTAAAGATGTCCAGGCTTGCCCCGGTCCTTCCCCAGTGGGCCTCTCTCTCCTTGTCTAAGGGGATGAAATCAGGCCTGATATCCTGGTGCCAGCACCTTTGGGTTCTGTGCACTCATCAGGCTGGGAGAGGGCAGTTTATGCCCTAGGCCTGAGGACATCTGGAGCAGCTACTGCCTCCAAAGGTGGGGGAAAAAAATCTCAACTTTAAAGTTCCTATTTGGAATATCGGTTACAAAACCAGCAAGAACGTGGCCAGAGGCCACTTAACCCAAACCTTCTCCTTCCCCCTGGAATATTTGGATGCAGGCAGGACCTGAACAAAATCACAAAAAGCACCCTACAGCCTGAGGAAGACACAGGACACGGATGCGGGAGACGCCCTGGCTGCTGCACAGACTCCCCAGGTCAGGCATACAAGGCCGATGTGTGGATGTGAGCTTGCGGGGCGTGTGCGTGTGCGTGTTCAGAAAATGCCCTTCAATAAATTTTCACCAACCACCTGAGCCCTAAGCCTGAGGACAGGATACGTAGGAGCCTCTATTTTCTGCACCCCGGGCTCTTACTCAACATCACTGACCGCCAGAGATGGCTGAGCATCTCTGCATGAGTCCCTGGGACCGGCAGCTTCAGAATCACTCTGGGAACTTATTAAAAATATGGACACCCAGACTCCAGCTCCGGAGGCTCTGGGCCAGGGTTCTGGTTTTGCTTGTTTCTTTTTTGAGGGTTTTTTCCCCCAGTACTGGAGATTAAATCCAGGGCTTTCTCACTGAGCTGCACTTCCATCCCCTTTTAATTTTTTTTTTTTAATTTTGAGACAATATCTGGATAATATCTGGCTAAGGGGCCAGGGACCAAATACTATCTGGTTAAGTCACTAAATTGCCCAAGCTAAGCTTGAACTTGTGATCCTCCTGCCTCAGCCTCTCAGAGTGCTGGGATTACAGGCCACATCCCCATCCCCAGTAGGGCTCTACACTTATAACAAGTACCTAGGAGCTCCTGCCCACTGGCTGGACTGTTAGCTGTTGACAAACGTCTTTTCCTGGCAGGCAGGGCCTTGCCCAGTGTCACAGAGATAGGTATAACCCACCCCACATGAGGACCCAGAGGTAATGCCTCCAGGGCCAGCCACCAACAGCATTCCCACTGAGGGCCACTCCGCTGTCCTCCCAGTGCGCCCCACATCTGCCTTCTTCCAGGCTGTGCTGCTTGGCAGTGTGCCAAGAGCTCCGGGAACACAGCCCATGTCCACCCACATGCGGAGGGCCCTTGCCCTGGGTACTGTCTGCTTTCCATTGTTGGGACCAAATACCTCACGCTCAAAACTTAGAAGAAGTCTATTTGGGCTCATGGCTTCAGAGGTTTCAGTCCGTGAGCGACTGGCTCCAAACTTCATGGAGGAAGAGCATGGTGGAGAGAGGGAAGCTGTCCACCTCATCAGCCAGGAAGCAGAGAGCAGAGGAAGACCTGGAGCAGTAGGGCCAGGTCCCCACAGTCATGGCACCAGGACATATCAAACACACCCACAGGTGCGCCCTACTAATCTCCCGGGCGCCTCTCAACCCAGTCAAGTACACACACACACGCACACACACACACACACACGAGTTACATGCATAACTGCACATTCATTGCTTCCCCAAGTCTTTACTGAGCACCCGTCTGGCACCAGCCTGATGATCCAACAGCTCCATTATAGCAAGGAGCAGTGAGGAAATGCAAGGCCCTGTCCGGGGCCCGCTGAGTTCTGCCCAGGCCCAGGAACAGCTGCACAAAGGAGCAGGGAGCTGGCTGCTTGGCCGGGCTGATGTCTCACAGGGTCCTGCTAATGGGAAGCCTGAGCTCAGAGGTCCTGTGCCAAGAGAGGTGGACCCACAGCCTCCTGCATCCTCCTAGGAACCTCCTGAGCTTCCCAGGAACTTTTCTGTTGAAAATATCAGCCTAGAAATGGGTACTGGCAGTGGGTGCCAGCAGCAAACAGGACTTGCTGGCTGGCAGGCAGGAGCCCCAAGATTCCCCCAGGGAGAAAGGGCTGTGAGACATCACTTTGTAAAACCCTGGCTGGCCCAAATGCCAGAGCACTGGGAGGGACCCCTTGTCTTTGTAATTCCACACTGGGTGCTGGGTCAGGAAGCCTGGACCCACTGCAGCAAGGACACTTACTCCGCAGTCTTCATGTGGCTGTGGTGAAAACACAGCAAGGTGGTGTCTGAAGGATCGTTGACTCAGCCCGGGATAGAATCTCAGTAGGGATAACGAAGATTATAGGACAAAAAGACAAAGAAGCGGGGAAGGGTCTTCCAGACACCTGGCGGGGAGTGTACAGGCTGCCAAACTCATGCTTTGTTCCATTGGAGAAATCCACTCTTCTAGGTGGGGCGGGGGAACACCCAGCCTTGTGGAATGTTAGTTGATTGTGTACATTTTTGAAATCAGCTAAGTGCAGAAGGCCCTGATGTCTCTCTTTCAATAAATAGCTGAAAATTCTAACCCACAGCCCAACGAACCCAATCGAGTGTAGTCAACTGGTGTGAATGGCTCTTTTCTTTCCTTCTCTCTCCCTCCCTCCCTCCCTTCCTTCCTTCCTTCCTTCCTGGCAGTATGGGGATCAAATCCAGGGGCTCTCTACCACTAAGCTACATCCACAGCCCTTGTCATTTCAGAAAGGGCCTTGCTAAGTTTCCCAGGCTAACCTCAAACTTGTGATCCCCCCTGCCTCAGCCTCCCAAGAGCCGTTATCACAGGCATTCACTACTTCGCCAGGCATTGCTGGCTGTTGACAGCTGTTTGCCTGCATTGTCTTGGTTAATGTGAAGGCCCCACTCTCATGACAGGGAGTCAGTGAAAGGTTCCTAGGGCCAAACTTGTGCCTTTTTCTTCTGGCTAGGTTGGCAACGTGCACTGTGAACTCAGACAAGTTGCACAACTTGCCCTCTATTCCCTGGCAGGGGGATGAGGGGTGGCGAAGCATAACGTGTGTGCAGAGCCCTGAGCCACTGCAGTAAGGCCTTGTGAGCAGTGCTGGAGAAGCAACTGACAGCTGATACAATCGGCTGATAAAGGAACCTGGATAGCGCCATGCCTGCTCTCCATCCTCACTTCAAATCAGAAAACTCAACTGCCAGGGAGACAGGTGAGGAGATAAGATGAGCACAGCATCTCAGTGGGAAGGCCCGAATCCACTGGGAGCTGTCATGTGTGGCTGAGATCTTAGACAATTTAACTTCCCTGGACATCAGGCTCCCATCTGTACGATGGGGATCCTTACCTTGAAGCAAGGTAATTCTAGCCCCATGTCTGAAATTTAGGCCACACTCCACAAAAGCTAGGACTTGGTATTAGGTAAAAGCATTCAGTAACTGCTACTAATTTAAGTTGTTAATTACATGCAGTTTTCTAAACGGGGATTAGGCAAAGCAAGGTTGCCGGGAGGATTATTACACGACTCTAAAAACAAACATCTCGTGCACTATCTGTACGCTTTATCTACTTTACAGGCCTTCTCTCAATTACTTCTCATAATGAACCTAGAAAGCAGGCTATCATCACCATTTTAATGGGGTGTCACAGGGCCAGTATGAGACTCGGGCCTGGGATTGGCACCCACATTTTCACGCTCCGGGGATGCCTCCACGTGGGTGACACGAGGTGCTCTGCTGTCCGCCCCGCAGCGGGAATGTACAAACCACCCCATCTCTGCTTCCCTTCCCCTTCCACCCCCCAAGCGAAGCCCCGGCTGCCAGGTCTCCCCTCTCCCTCCTCACTGACCTGACTGTGCTCCTTCGGAAACACTGCTCAGCACAGCCCTGCGCTCCCTCCGAGGGGACCCGGCTTCGCATTAGCTTAGCCTGATATACCGCAGAGGAGAGAAGGAGCAGAAACGGAGGCCACTTGTACCCGCTGTGGCATCTCCTCTTTTCGGGTCCGGGGACCCTTGCAGAGGTGATTTCTTCCACCTGGGGTGCCCGCCTCCCCGTGGTCAGGATCCTGTCTTCCCTTCAGAGGAGCCCTCCAGTGTCTCCTGCTCTCTGTGCCTACTTCTCAGGGTTCTGTCCATACCTGGGCCTTGCTGCTCTCTTTTCTAGGCCACCTTGAGGCTCCTCGAGGCCAGGACCTGGCGGGGCGGCCTCTGCGGGTGCTGGGAATGCTTCACACTCAGTGCTAAGTGCTGAGGCTCTGCTGAATCGGACTGAGTAGCAGTGGAGCCCCAGCAGAGGCCTCCAAAGCAACTAGGGGAGCCCTCAAGAGACACTGCTACCTCTCCTCACCACAGCTTCTGGCCTGGTCTCTCCTCCACCATGGCAGGAAACACTGACAGGGCCTGGGCCAAGGGGTGATGCCCCTGGGCTGTAGCACTACTGCTACAAGCTCGGACTCTGCCATGGCCACTTCTGCTGGGGCAGAGACGCTGGGGAGATCAAGGGCAAGGGGTGCAAGGCTTCCATCTCTGTGGAGGGGTCAGTGGCCAGGGTCTGGGGTGTCCAGCGGAGAGGACCTTCACAGGGCGTGGCACTTTCAGAGCCAGTGCCTGAGAATCTGCTGTGCCCTGGGCCCGTTGGTCTCCAAGCAGGGAATGAGTGAACGCTGCCTCTATGCCTCTGGGACCAGGCTCCTGCCAGTGGGGAACCTCATCCTTGGTGAGACAACGTCTCAGACCAACACAGGAACAGTCTGAGCCCTGAGTCCCACTGGGTCCCTCGGAGTTGTCACTGCTCCTTTCTAACCGAAGGTCCTCCATTCTCCCCAGCTACCCCTGCCCAGGCTACCGCATTCCAGGGCCAGGCTCCTGCGGGCATCCAGATCCCCCCACGCCACCCTAGGTGCATTTTTCTTGTTATATCTCCCGGGCCCATAGGTGGGTCCTGTCTGTCCGTACCTGGTCACCACTCCTCGGTGCTTAATTCCAGCTGTCTCACCTCTGTGCTCCTTTCTCAGCAAAACGCACTTGTGCAGTAAAAGTGAATCTATCAGGCGTTGGGTTGGTCACACCTGCCTAGAGTCTCACTGTGGCCAGGCCGATTTCCGGCTCCACCACCTCCTAACTGCTATGTGACTGAACAAACTACGTCATCTTGCCATACCCCCATTCCTTACTGTAAAACACGGGTGTCCTAGTACTAGTACCTGCTCCAGTATCAGTGTGACAAACTGTACACACAGTCATGCAGCTCTTGGACAACAGACACAGCCTGACACAGAGTCATCATATATACTTTTGGCATTATTATTATTATTGCTATTATTATTAGGAATTTACCATGTAGTTGGGAACAGTGTCACATACCTGTAATCCCTGCACTCTGGGAGGCTGAGGCGGGAGGATGGAGTTCAAGCCCAGGCTGGCTAACTTAGTGACTTAGCAAGGCTCTGTCTCAAAATTAAAAATTAAGAAAAGGGCTGAGGGGGGAGCTCAGTGCAAAGGCTCTGCAATCACTAGTACCAGAAAAAAAACAAAAACAAAAAAACCCTACCATGTGCCAGATCCTGGGGCCCCAGGAATAGGCAAATGACAAGTCCCAGAAAGCAGCATTCCCAAGGCAGTGTGACTAATGGGGGAGGTATGGCCACACACACAGGAGAGCGCAGTGACTCAGCTTGGCCTGCAGGCAGGGGAGGCGGCAATGTGAGAAAGCAGAGCCCGTGTGAAGTAAAACTGTGCAGAAATGGGGTAAAAAGACCTGGTAGTGTGAGGCAGAGCCCCACCTCTGCCACCACCACGAAGGGCAGCAGGGAAGCCGCAGTGGTCTTAGGAGCAGAGTGAGCCCCACTCTGGACAGATCCCTGAGATGGGCCAGCACAGGCAAAGTCCGAGGAGCCAAGCCAGGCCTCTCTGCAGCCTGGAGCTGCCCGGCACCCTCTAGGCAGTTTGCCGGCATCCATGGCTCCTGGTCCTGGTGGGCCAGCTGCCCACGGTGCCTAGAGTCCATCCTCACTCCCCACTGCTGCACTTCCGGTCACCGCCCAGCGAGCGTCTGGCTCTGTGCACTCCTCTCCACTCACCCAGCAACAGGCTCACTCTGCCCCTCGCTCAGCTCCCGGCCGGGCAGCTGGAGCCCATCCCTTCCCCCTCGCCTCTGCTTCATCGTCAGCCTCCCAGTTGCTCCGCTGGGACTTGCCCAGCTCCTCTTCCCATCAATGACTCATGAGCCGGGCGGGGGTGAGGCTGGGGCTGCCAGGGCCGAGGGAGAGTTGGTGGCGACAGCCCCTCCCCGGTCCTCCGGTCCAACTGAGCAAAGTTTTTCCGTCTCCTACGTGTCTGCTGGCCGTGTCAGTGCCTGTTCGTGCCCTGGAAGGGGCCCTGACCCCACTCCGTGGTCCAGCCAAGCATTCTTAGGGTGAGGACCTTTGTTACTTCTTTGAAATTCAGTCATGGAATTCAGAGCAATGAGGACACCCCTGAACCCAGGAAGCAGGGTGCCCTCTTCCCCATCAGGGAGGCAAACTCTTCAAAGGGTGTCACCATCTTGTGGTGGGGGGACCCCCACCTTAGTAGCCTCAGACCTCTGTGCTGAGGACTCTAGGAACCCTCAGGAAGCCGCCGGGCTAAGTGACCATCTCAAAGCAACAGCCGCTGTCTACTCTCTGCACGGGAGGCTGCTGTGTCCCAGGGCCTGTGAGGGTCTCTGACCGCAGTGCACTTTAGAGCGCCTGTGACTGCCTTAGCGAGGGAGAAACTGAAGCTGGCTTTGGGCAAGAACCAAAGCACACTTGGAAGCAACAGGGCCACATGTTCCAAAAAAAACAAGGAGTGCCAGAAACCAGAGCCTGCCACCCCTCCGCGGCACCTGCCCTCTGCCCTTGACATCCCGCTGGTCCTGCCCCTCCTCCCCCGACCTTTGTAGCCAAGCTCCAGGAATGACCCCCCCAGCTCTGCCGAGGCTGGCACAGGGCCCTCAGAGCCAGCTCTGTTAGCATCAGTTGGCAGTGCCCTATCTCTGTACTAGGCTCTGGGTTTCTCAGGGCAGGGACTGGATCATGCCTGTTTTTTGTCTCTGCATCTCACCTTAACAGGCTTTCAGTTTGTTCAATGATTGTGCTTCACAATCCCAAACCATCTGCTAACACACACTCCCCTTTTCTGAGTGTCTGGGCACCTCTTTTTTCTTTTATGCCCAAGTCCTCATTGTCAGTCCCCTGTGGGTTTGACTGAAAGAGCAGGGGTTTTAGAGACTGCTGTTTTATAGAGGGATGAAGTTAACCCTCTCCCACTAACGCAGTTTAAATCAAGGGAGGGGTGGCAACCATCCAAACCCCCACCCCAAATAAGTACTACCATTCTTGATTCCAAAACCTACAGCACACATCACCAATCTATCACAGCACTCTGGCTGAGCCCAGATCCTCCTCAGCACTGACCCAGGTTCATGTGTGAGATATTTATTTGCCATGGTGGGGTTCAGCTATCCATGGGGTGGTGTTCTGCCTGATGAGATCATACGAGGGATGTTGGTAAAAAGTTCCTTTGTAATTTGTAAATCTATATGCAGCCATGAAAAAAGCGAGTTGCTTCTGAGGACCAAGGAACTAAGACACGGCACAGGGAAGATTTGATTGGAAGGCAGGAGAAATGCGGAGAGGAACAGACAGGCTGGGTGCACAAAGAAGTTATGAAAGAGACTTTAAGTTGCTGGAGGGAAGCCGGTCAGCCTTGCTTCTTCCAGAGATGGGAGGAAGGTCAGGAACCACAGAGATGGAGTTGGCCACTGTGGCATCCCAAGTCACACTGAAGCCCACCCTTCCTAGGACCACTGAGGCTAGGTCTACTGGGGTTCCAGTGTCTCCCACAGCTAGGCTAGAAGTTTCGGAATGGGCTGTGCAAGGTGGTGGCTGGGGAGACGTGCCATGCCCTGGTTCTGTGTGGGCAAAGAATGTCACGCAGCAGACAGTGTGGTCGCTGCCCTTTGCAGGGCATCTTCATTCTGCAATAGGCATGAAATGGTAATGGCCAAACCTCACCCACACCCCCTCCAGGCCCAGCACCACAGGGGGAACATGGGTAGAGGCGGGGAAAGATGTGTGCAAAGAGAGGGCCTGGATGGTGGGGGTCCCAAAAGGACCTAAGCAGCAGGAGACCCCCAGGTGTGGGTCTCAGGCCCAGCAGCTCCCTCTCCTCGAGGTGAGTCCAAGGCGGTCCCAGGGTGGTGCCTCCTCTGGACACCCAGCTGGCCTCTTGAGTCCTGAGGTGTCAGCCTAGCATCCCATGGGGGACTGTCCTCCTCCAGGCCTGAAGAGAGGCCAGGGACTAACAGCAGTTTGCAGACCCAATGGAAGGGCCTCAGCAGGCAGAGGACTTGACGCCAGCTCCTAGCGTGATGCGGGGGGGCGGGGCAGGCCTGTGGCTAGAAGCTGAGCTGGGTATGCCCCGAGGTTCTGACAGTCTGTCCAGGAGCTGAATCTTCATCCTCAGCTTCACACAGCCTTCTGCCCTCCTTCCCTGGCCCGTCCACTCCTTCAGCTCTGATGCCTCTTCCACATGCCCACGGCTTCTGCTCACAGCACAGAGCACAGTCATGCCCCCCACCAGTGAAGGGGTGCAGGGCAGCTGGGGAGAAAGAACAGCGGTCAGTACAGTGTCTCCCAGGTGTTGGGCACTTCATTCACGCCAGGCCTTCCCAGCCTTCCCACATCAGGACAAACAGAAACAATTCGGCCTTTCCCCATTACCCACAGAGGACTGGGTCCAGGACAAAAACCTGCACGTTAAGTCTGTATAAAATGACACAGTCTTTGCCTAAGACCCATGTACACCTCTAGTATATTTTAAGTCATCTACATTTCTCGTATTTAGCACAATGTAAATGTCATATAAATAGATGCTATGCTATATCACTTAACAAACATTGGCAAAGAAAGTCCATACATGTTCAGAGAACATAATTTGTTTTCCAACATTTTCCAATAGGGTTGATTGAATCCACAGACACGGAACCTAAGGATACAGGGCTGACTGTGTTCATACAACACTTTGGGGCCAGTGGCATCTGCTTCCTCCCGGGGCTCCCCCACCTGGATCCATTGTCAGCACAGCAAGTCTGCCCTGCACCCAGCCTCTCAGTCAACATCACTGCACATGGGAGGGAGGTGACAGCGAGTCAAAGGGGCCGAGGCACTGATGGCCCCAGGCTCACGGGGACTGTATTGTCAAGGGAGTGTGTGAGGTGGAGCAGGGGGGCACAGCACAGGTTTCCACCGGAGAAGTCAGTCCCAGTGTGGCATAAACCCTCCCTCAACCCTGCTCCCAGTTCCCATGGGGAGGGAGTGGCATCTGGGGAAGAGGGCACGGCTGAGTGCCAGCCAGGGCTTCTAGGTTCTATTCCTGTTCCCTCCTCTGAGCCTTCCTGACCACTAATGGGCCCCCCCTCCCCTTACCCCTTGCCCTACTGCTTAGAGAACTCTGGATCCTGCACCCACCCACCGGCCCAGCTCCAGGGCCCCATCCCCCCTTCCAGCTTCTCCTCCTCTAGGCCAGCTGGGCTGTGGCTGGCCCTCAGGGGGCCTGGCCTCTGCCTGCCTCACCCTCCTTCAGCTCCCTTGTCCTTCCAAGAGCTCAGTCCTACAGCCTCAAACCCACTGTCCAGAATGGACCAGCCAGCCCTCCTCCAAGGGCCCACTCTGGGAGCTGGGGCTCCTCTGCTAAGGGAACGACCCTGCCTTTGTGACACCGGGTCCTCCTAGCAGGATGGTGGGTCTCTACCCTTCATCCCCACCGTTTGTCCTAGAAAGTCACAGTCCAGGAGTCCTGCCCTGGGTGGGGTCAGAGGCCCAGCGGCCTGAGAGGCAAGATCCCTCCACCTGGATTCAGCCAACTTCTGGGAAGGCTCATCCCATCCTGGTCCCCTCACCCTGGGCTCCCATATTCCTTTCAGACACCTGAGTCACACTGAGGACGCTCCTGTTGGGAGCACAGAGGGAAAGGCTACTCTGTGCATCTTGGCCACCAGCCCAGGCTTCCTATACTCGGTCTCCTGAGCTCCTATTCTCTATTGGCCCTAGGAAGCCTCCGTAGGTCTGCCTGGCTTTGAAGTTGAGTGCTGGCCTCTGACTCTCTCTGCACAGCACAGAAGAGGGAGGGAAGAGAAAGAGGGCTCGTGGGGGGGGGCTCACCTGGCATGAGCTCCGGGCACCACGGGGGCAGGGGGATGACGGTAAGATGGGAGCCTGGTGGTTTAGGACACGAGGGTCCCAGCCCCGAGGCTCTGCCGAGCTCTCACTGTCTGGATGGCCTGCTGGTTCTTGAACTTGACCAAGCCCAGGGTGATCTGAGCGTTCCAGCCAGGGTCTTCTAGGGGGCAGCGGAAATCGATCTCACCACCGCCCTCGGTCACCAGCGTGAAGTAGATGTGGCGCCCCGTGCTCTCCACGCACTCCACGGCCTTGATGCGGGCGAAGCTGAGCTCCTTGGGCCGGCCGCCCGTGCCCTTGGCCTCGAAGAGCTGCAGCCCGCGCTCGGTAAGCACGCAGCGCTTGCGTTTCCACAGCTGCAGCAGTCCGCCGCTGCGCTTCTCCAGCACGCCCTCCTTGAGCACGGTCGCCGCGGCCGTCATG